GCTGCTTAAACACCCAAAACTGTCTCTGAGCAGTCACGTTTCTGCCAATTTTGGCATCGCAGCCCCTCAACGTCCTCCCCAAACCGAGCGCCCAGAACCGGGCACAGCGCTCGAGGCGCCGCCTCCCCCGTGCCGGGGCTGCTTTCGGTGCTGAAACAGGAGGCCAGGCCCAAAGAGTTAACTAAGAAATTTGGGTCTGCTAACAAGCTACCAAACCATCTGTGCTTGTTCTGTTCTACTTACCTGAGCAAAACTTAAGAGAACGGTTAAAGAACATGTCATAGGCCTGGAGGTAATAAATCAAGATGCAGTAGGATAAGGTAGACCTTGAATAGAAGAAACAGGCCAGGAGCTGAGGCTTTTTCCAAGCTTCAGTGAGCGGGTCAAGAACAATGGAAAAGAAGAGAGGCCAAGCTGAGGAAGATGAGATTAAGCCCCCAGACCCAGGGAGGAAGATTGGAACTACCCCCAAGATTGAGGGCCGAGAGAAGCACCTCCCCAAGCCCTGCCTGAGCTCCACCTACACTCTGCCTGTGATTAATATGTATTGATAGATGCTGTAATCGCTTGAATATGCATTTAATCCTATAAGAAAACTGTATAAAACCTGCTGATTCTGTGTGAAGCCTTGGAGCAAGTTTTTCCAGCGATAGCTGGCTCGCTCCCGGCGCTGCCAATAAATACCTTTGCTGCTCAGAGATCAAAAAGTCTCCGGGCAGTTCATTATTCCGGATTTTTCGGATTCAGTGCCCCCTCGTGCCCCTCCCCTGCCCCCAGCTGACCTCGCCCAGCTCGGGCTCCTGGTCTCCCAGCCCCACGATGAGGATGCAGTCGGCCTGGCGGAAGCAGCGCAGGGTCCAGGTGGTGAGGGTGCAGTCGGTCTGGTAGAGGACGATGCGGTGGATGTCCTCCTGCTGCGCCAGCCACCCCGACAGCCGGTACTCCTGGATGCTGCCGGGGCACGGGGGTCAGCCAGGGATGGGTGGGGTGTGGGGGGACGGGGGACGCTCCCTCCTCCCCGCGGGAGTTACCTGTCCAGCGCCGAGGAGCCGAGGCGGGCGCGGATGATGTCGCTGGTGAGGAGCAGGGTGGGACCTGGGGGAGGGGGGCACGGGGTCACTG